AGTTAGATGACAAAGGAGAAAAATGTATCTTTATTGGTGTTAGTAATCATTCTAAAGCTCGCAAGTTGTATAATGCAAGCACTAAAAGGATTATCATTAGCCAAGATGTAGTCTTTGATGAGGAAAGCTTCTTGTAGTGGAATGAAGCTAGAGCTAAACAATACGTTCTTGTAGATTTTGATGGAGAAAGTGTCGAAGAAAGGCAGCAACTTATAGACCATCTATAACAACCAACAGCTATTCAAAATGATCCATTAGCAACTTCAAACTCATCTACAACTGCAACACAACAAAGGCCATAACTAACTATAAGGAGACCTGCATGGATGATTGATTATGTAGTAACAAGGATTGACCAATTTAAGGACCCACTAATACATTTTGCTTTTTTTCAAATTGTGATCTCGTATTTTTTGAAGAAGGCTGTCAAACATTCAAAATGGAGGAAGGCAACGGATAATGAAATTGCATCCATTAAAAAAAAACAACTCTTGGGAGTTAACCGAACTTCCAAAAGGACAAAAGACCATTGGTGTTAAATGGGTTTATAAGAAAAAGTTGAAAGAGAATGGTGAAGTTGATAAATTCAAGGCATGCTTAGTTGCCAAAGGCTACGAACAAGAGTTTGGCATTGATTACAAAGAAGTATTTGCTCCGGTTGCAAGACATGACACGATTAGACTGGTGATTGCATTGGCAACTCCAAATTCATAGCCTATCTTCCAACTAGATGTCAAATCAGCCTTTTTTCATAGAGATTTAGAGGGGCGGTATTTATTGATCAACCTCCTAGTTATGTTAAGATTAGAAATGAGCATAAAGTGTATAAATTAAAAAAGGCCTTGTATGGACTAAAACAAGCCCTATGAGCTTGATATAGTTGTATTGAAGCGACTTATTTTCTTAAGAAAGGTTTTCACAAATGTACTTATGAACATACACTTTTCACAAAATTGGAAGATGATGGGAAGATGCTCATGGTTTGTTTATATGTAGATGACTTAATCTACACTGGAAATGATAAGGTCATGTTTGCTAGATTTAAGGAGTCTATGATGGTTAAATTTGATATGTCCGATCTTAGAATGATGTACTTTTTCCTTGGCATAGAAGTTGTTCAATCTATTGCTGGCATATTTATTTCCCGAAAAAATATGTGCATGAAATTCTAGATAAATTTCAATTGAAAGATTGCAATCTCGTCGGTACACCAACGAAAAGAGGTATGAAGCTTGTTAAAGATCTCAAAGGAAGAAAGATTGACAACACTTTTTACAAGAAAATTGTAGGAAGTCCGATGTATTTGACAACAACAAGACTCGACATAATGCATGTTGTCGGCTTGATTAGTAGATACATGGAAAATCCAACAAAGATGCATCTTTTAGCACGCAAGGGAATATTTTGATACTTGCAATGAACTAAAGATTTTAGGTTGTTCTACAAGAAAGGGACAAGGTCGGATTTGATTTGTTTCATCGACGGTGATTATGCGAGAAATGAAGATGATAGAAAAAGTACTTCGAGTTATGCTTTTATGTTGGGCTTAGGAGTCTGTTTCATGGTCATTTAAGAAGTAACCAATTGTTACGTTATCAACGATCGAAGCAGAGTTTGTTGCAGCCACTTCATGCATATGTCAAGTAATTTGGTTGAAGAAAATTCTTGAACAATTGCAATTCAAGCAAGATGGAGCTACCGTAATTTATTATGACAACGAGTTCAACAATAAAACTCTCTAAAAATCCTGTTCTACATGGAAGAAGCAAACATATAGATGTGAAGTATCATTATCTGCGAGAGCTCAGCAAGGAAGGAGTCATTGATCTCATTTATTGTAGAAGTAAAGACCAAGTTCGTTGACATATTCACTAAACCTCACAAACTACCAACGTTACCAACGTTTCTAAAGCTAAGAAGATTGTTTGGTGTTTGTTCAAAAGATAGTACTCTAGTTTGAGGGAGGGTAATTTTACCTTTTAATTGACTCGTTTATGCATCGGTTTAAGGGAGAGAATGTTGAATAAAATCAGCATAGTTTAGTTTGTTAAACAATTTAGTTTATCCTAGTCTTTAGGAGTTTGTTATTTGGTATATTCATACATCAAGTTTTTATGAACCACTTCGCACAATCAAGTCGGTTGCTATTTTTTTGCATTTTATTGTCAATGTAATGCCTATTTAAAGGCTCCAGGTTGATGAATGACATGTGCAAGCAAGTTTCATTTAGCTATCCTCTGTTTTGAGTTCACTATTTTTTGTAACAAGGTCCTTGTTAGGGAATTTGTTGGTGCTTAAAGCTTATTGAAAACTTTGCAATCAAGTATCTATATGTAACTTCTAATTATATACCTACCGGTTCATTATATATGTATATATATTCTCTCTCTTAATGTAATGCTTGTCATATACCATTTGTGGTGTTGATAAGTCATTACAATTCTAATATCTCAGTTTATATTATGTACAAGAGCTCTAAGTGAAACAGATATTATCTGATTTTGATTTATCTTTTCGTCACATTTTTATTTTGTGTTACAATACTAGTATTATTGACTTGACTAAGAATCTCATTCAGCATCCATCTTTGCACCAAGCATATAAAAATAATAATTTAATTTCTTTCTGAAAACAATTTTAATGAAGGACGTTATGGAAATACGATTACCTTTTCTAATTAGACTTTAGTAAATAAGTATCTGTGATTTTTTTTTTTAAATGTGGACCAGTGAAAATAATTTTCTTCAAAGACGTGATTGGAATACAACTGAGTACAAACCGTTTCTCATGTCGTTGGGCGACGTATTTACATGAAAATAGGGAAAATGGTCAAGCTCAATTCGATAATTCAATTCCATCACTTGATGATTATAGACCGAAGAGACATTCATTTTAAAAACTTTCAAGATTGTTATAAAATCAATCACATTAGATTCTTGTTCCTGCTATTGTAAAATCTTAATAAAGCTAAGCTTTGATTGCAAATTTCTGTCTGGACACGCTTGCAATCTGTATATCAATCAATCAATCAATCAATGAATTAGCTTCCTTAAAAACAATTAGCCATATTCATTTTAAAAAAATATGCCATCCTATTATTTCAGTTGTAAATCTTCATCAGAATACTGTACATTTATGCTCCAAAATCACTTGTTCCTTTCTCAAAAATCATTCTAATCCCTAATTCAATCACTATATGCATCAACAGAGAGTTGCGATTCTTTTATGGCATCTTTGGTACCATGTAGTTTAATGAATGTGAGTGTGTGGCTGCAAAATTTTCTTTTTTTTTTGTCTTCAAAAAGTTGTTTTATTTTTATTTACGAAATGGTCCTTATTAGGAAATTTGTTGGTGCTTAAAGCTTATTTGAAACAAAACTTTAGTAAATAAGGAATTGTAATGGTTTAATTTTTTTTTCTTTTTAACATGCGGACAAGTGAAATCAATTTTAACGAAGGAGGTGATGGGAATACAACTGAGTACAAACCCTTTTTTATCCTCACAAAAAATTTAACTTATTTTGAACATATATAAAGAAACTGGATTTGGAATAATTAAACTATTCTTAAACTACACCGTTAGGATAACAATTTTCTTTATTTCTTTATTTTTTTTTTTTGTTTAAACCACACTAGAGGACACAAAAATATATAGGAAACAAGAGCGCCACAGAACTCACCCGAAAGCAGGAAAAGACATAAATATGAAGACATGTTATTGTAGTCGAGCAAATCTAATGAGAAAATGTCCAAAAGGGACCCCAAAAGCACCTTGGTATTAGGCTGGAGAGATGAGTGTAGTTGCGAAAGGGCGTGGAGTGCAGATAGCCTCCAAAGGCTTAGCCTTTTGTACAGAGATGGCAGCATTTACTATACTCATATCTATTGGTTCTTCTCCGACTCTCTTCAATTCAAAGCACTGAATAAGTACAGCCAATGCCAACAAAACTCTGCGCATGGCCATGTAATTTCCAGGGCACGCTCTTCTCCCAATACCAAATGGGATAAATCCTTTTTTTCCCCTTCGTTACTAATGCCTTCAAACCGCTCTGGCTTGAAGCTATCGGGATCTTCCCATAACTTGGGATCCCTATGGATGGCCCATGCATTCACCATCACAATCGAGCCTCGTGGTATCTTGTATCCACCTATAATGCAATCTTCAGATGGAGCATGAGGCACCAAAAGTGGGGCTGGAGGAAACAACCGAAGGGTCTCGTTAACGATACAGCGGAGATAGTTTAGCTTGGGAAAATCACTCACCTCTACCAAGCGCTTATGTCCGACTTCTCTATCAATCTCTTCTTTCACCTTCTGTAATTTCTGTGGATCATTCAGCAGGTGTGTCATGGCCCATTCTGCAGTGAAATCTACTGTATCCACTCCAGCCAAATAGATTGTCTGTAGAACATAAAACATTCCTTAAAGCTATAATATCATATCAAATAACTACCTCAATCTAAAATTTTAAATCATTGGCTAAAACTCCAAAAACAATTTTATATGGCTTTTTATCAAATCGTGTTACAGAAAGGACAAATGGAGACAAAGTTGGAACAGCTTCTGGTACAAAAAAACAGAGTTACAGAAGAAATTTTATAATACACAAAGAGTAATTAGTGATTATAAAAATAATTACTTCATTTGTATTATAAAATTTCTCCTTATGTAATCTAGTTGCACTTAAGATGATGTAGCCTAACTACATGTATATTTAATGCTCAAATCTACACTTATGGGTTGTAAGTGATTACACATATATTATCTTGTTTCAATTCTATCTAACGTTACGCACGATATATCCTTTATTAAGATCCAGATCATGATCGAAACCTAGTTAGAGTTCCCACCGAAGCTTATCGCTGTGTTCTGAACCCCGTAACGTCAAAACTGGAAAAAAAAAAAAAATCGTTATGAGCTGTTTACCGCTAAGGTACCCTTGATAGCATCATCTGAAAACATTTCAGGGTCTGATTTTTGGAGAGACAATAGACTTCCAATCACAGTTGTCTGATCCTTCCCCCGTCAGCAGTACTACTTGAAACCGAGCCGGTTTCCTTTCGTCTTGCCTCTTCTATCAAGCCCTCAAAGAATTTATCCCTCTCTTCAGCAATCTTAAGGAAACGCTCCTCTTCCTCCTTGAAACGTCCAAACCATTTCAAATATGGAAAAAAATCCAACAAACTACTCGTTGTATTTGAAGGGAACATCTTTTGGATATCCTCAAGACACTGCTTCCCTGTATTAATACAGGCAGCCTTCTCTTCGTCAATCCACTTCTTTCCAGCGTTCATCTTCATAATCACATTGACAGACGTAACTGTGAAGAAATAATTCAAGTTCACCTTTTTGTCTCTACCATCCGAGACGTTAGACAAAATTAGGCGGAGAAGGGTGCGGACTTCTTCGGTAATGGCAGTAGACCTATCAAGGCAACTTCGAGAGAACAGTTCGTTAACCGCGAAGCGCCTGAACGCACGCCAGACATGGCCATACGGTGCAAATAAAAAGCCAGTATAGTTGTAGCTCCAAAGACGGCCAAATATGCTGTGAGGCCTGTTAGCAAGCACTGCATCGTTCTTCAAGAGACATTCTTCAGCAGCTGATAAAGAACCGATAGGAAAAATATACTTGCTGCCTAATTTAAGAGTAACAATCGGACCATACTTCTTCGAAAGACTTGCTAGTGCTTTATGGAGGGGTGGCTTCGAAAAATGGTGGACATGGCCTATGATTGGAAGAGAGAAAGGACCTGGTGGTAAGTTGTTACGTTGGAATAAAAGTTTGATTACAAGAAAGATCGAGAGGAAACAAGCAAGGTAATAGTACATTTCGTCCATTGTGAATTAAAGATTATATTCAATGATGGTGATTATGCATGGAGGAGAGATCGGAACGGGGTTTAAATAGATGAAATGGAGACACTTAGGATAGGTGGCAGCCACATTAAATTGAAGTTATTACGTTTTAATCGGATCCCATAGCTTAATAAATGAGTTCCTAAGATATGGTTATATATCATTCTTTAATATAATTTTTCACATGCATACATTACCAAAGAGCATCTCCAATGTTCTCTTTATATTAATATTTTTCTTTATAATAAAAAGGTTTGATCCAAATTTCATCTTCAATGCTCTCTTTATCATAATCTCAATCTTTAAAATTGATATAGAGAGTGTTTTTGCCTTTTCAATACTAGAGAGTCCAAATAACTCTTTATCTTATATTTCATTAATGAAAATTACTATTTCCTATCTCACTCAACCTCTTCACCAATAGTCTCTCTAAGTTTTATAGATTTTGTCAAAATAAAAAATTAAGTAGAGAGTAGCATTAGAAAGGATATTAATCTTCAATCTATATAATTAATGATGCTCTTTATTTACATTAAAAATGCTAGCTAAAAGTAGAAAGCACCATTGGAGATGCTTTAAGCTATTACGTAAACTCTTAAGATATAATTATATATTATTTTCTAATATATGTATCCATTTAAATTTTCTAGTAAAACAAAATTAGAATCCTAATGACTTCAACTTTCTTTAATAGTTATATGATGGAGGAAGGCTAGCTCATTATGTAATCCAAAACCCCATATGTTTCCGATGAATAATGAAAAAAAAAAATCATATCTTTGGTTTTTCATTACAAATTTTAATTTTTAGATTAAGATAGTTTTTTACATGATAATATTAATCAACTGATTGTTCTTTATACCTTTATATTAGTAAAATTTCTTTGATGTCTGTATATTATTATGGTAATTATTTAAGTTACTTAAATTTAGATAATATTGCATCGTCTTTTTTATTGTTAATATTACCGGCCAGTACTATTTTGATTCTCATAATAATTATAATTATTTTTTTCATAATTTATAGCCAAGCGATTAATTCATCCGATCTAAAGAGACTCTCCTTAGCTAATAGATTTGCTGCACTATTGCCTTGGCTCGAGCTATGCTTATAACTAAAAGACTTGATCTGCAAACGCCATGGCCTATCTACTAACTTCTTCTGCAACCAGAAAATAACATTTGTTGAATCTGATTCAAATACCTCATCGACTTGACTTGCTAAAGAATAAGAGATACTAATATCCAATCATCTATATTAATTACTTGCACAAAATTATTATCAATATATGTTCAAGTTACTTTCTTGATACAAGAAGGGATTGTTCTGAATTTTTTTCTTGACAATAATGATATATAGGTGAACATTGTTGTTGCGCATGCTAAAATTTTATTACCTGACATGGTTAAAATTGATAACAACATTCTATTGTATTCTAGAAAGCAGCACTTTATTACTTTTTTTTTCTATAAAAGCGATTTAGATATGCATTAAGTGACAAGACAGATAAGTTCATATCATGAATCAAAGACAGCAGTATTGCATTATGAAGTTTATAATTTTCAGGTTTTCGTTTATGTTGCATAATGTTGCTATTAATATCTTGACTGTTTAATTTTGAAGTTTTTGATTTAATCTTATTGTTTTGATTGCATATTAGAGTAGAAAATTTTATTTTATTTTTATTTATTTTACTTTGAATCATCTTTAATTTCAAGTTATTATTTCAGTAATTCTACAACCGAATCAGCTTGGAGGTCATATATAGTTCTCCATAAAGCATTTTCAAGCTTATTGGAGCCCGATAAATTCATTTTCATCCTCCTTTGTCACATTGTGTTGAAATGACAAGCATTGCATATGCACCACAATCAACTAGATAATATCTATCACAAATAGCTACCTGATGCTCAATCTTATCCAACAGTCCCACATAATTTATTTTTTCCAGCCCTAAATGATAACAAACGTATCAACTGTCCAAGACATATATATTATGAATTAGTTTTGAAAAAACGAATTAATTAAACCTTCTTATTTTAAAAATTAATTATTTAATTTTTTCTATTTTTTTATAATTTATTAAAAACACAAAAAGAAAGATATTTCGGAAAGGTGGATAAGAAAATTAAGAAGACTTTTCTTAGAATAAATTAATATTAAATTAAGCATATCAACACTACTCATCGATCTCAAAATTAATTAATTTGTTTATCAAGACTAAAATGAGTAAATAAATAAAAATATTTTAACTTCCCTCAAATGAGATCGGAACGGGGTTTCAACAGATGAATGGGAACACACAGGGAGGTGGCTGCACAATCAATTGAAGTTACTACCTTTTTAGAATAATATGCTGGGAGGTGGCTGCACAATAAATTGAAGTTGTTACTTTATGCGGACGGCTAAGTTCAATAACTGTGTAACAGTTAATTTTTATTTTTATTTTTTATGCTTACAGTGAATTTTCCATCTTCTTGCTTGTGAGAATAAATATCTTACATTGAATAATTAAATATAAGATAATTAATATATAAAGTTGAGAAATGATAAACTATTATAAGATTTAAATTATTTAGATAAAACTTTATAGTATAGGAGTTTTAAATAAATCTAACAGTCCAATAAAAATCCTCAAGCCAAATGAGAGAGTGTGTTAGAGAACATATCATCTCAAAAGAAAGAGAGTGTTTGAAAAGATATTTGGCCAATCACCATAAGGTTTTTTATAAAAAAAAATAATTGGTTTTTCGCGCTACAATAAGGGTAGAACAAATTTTTTTCTAATTCGATAGCTTATACTATATTATTGGTCAACTAAATATATAAAACCAAAAATAAAAGAAAAAATTTAATCTAATTCCATAATTTTTAATCAAAAAATTATATTTACTTTATTGTTGTGTTTTTCATAAATTTTGTGGTTACAAAAAAAAACAATTCTTATTCTTTAAAATGGATTTCTTTAGCTTGTCGTTTCTTATAAAAACTCTCATTAAATAAATTTTTAATTTTTTTATATAATTTGATTGTTAAAAAATATGATTTATTTTTCCCTATTTACATATTTTCAAATAAGTTTTTTTTCAATAAATAATCAATTTAAAAATAGAATTCATGTGCTTTATTTTTTTATCTTTTTATAATTAAATGTATCAAAATTAATTTTGTAGTTTTTTTATTACAATCGACTAATTTTAATATATTCTTTACAACTTAATTTTTGAAAAAAAATATTTTTCAATTTATGTTGTACACTTTGGCCCACTATATATATATATATATATATATATATATATATATATTGTATTAAAAATTAATTATGCATTTACGGACATAAAGCTATCCATTTACTATTTTTTTAATCTTATAAAATTAATTTCATAAATTTTAATCAAATATCTTTATTTAATTTATTCTTCTTTATGTTTTTTATAAATTTTGTAATTAAAAAAACACACGACTTTTTTTATGTATTTATTCTTAAATAAAAATTTGTAATTATATAAATATAAAATTTTAAAAACATCTTACCAGAACATCAGTTTGAATCAATTTGAATGAAGTTTATTATAATTTACTTGCTTATTAATGACTATTCAAAAAAGTCCCTAGTGTTTATACCGAATTATTTAATGGAGGGGGAAAAAAGAATGCAAAGACAAAGTATATGTGCATAGTTAGTTTGACGAGACGGCCAAAAAAATATCCAAAACAATTGATTTTAATCGGACGGCTAAAAAAAAGTATAAAATAATTGATTTGTATAGTGATTTTAACAATACAAAACAAAAAGCCCCCTAGATATATATTTTTTTAAGGAGAAGCATTTAATGCCCCGACAAAAGCAAATTACAAAACAGGGCATAAAAGATTAAAAAAATAAAGAATAAGCAAAGGGTGATAAAGTAATATGCCTAACTACCTAATGGCATAAAAGAAATTAAGGTTAAAAAAGGGCGAAAAACGAACCGCTTGCAATAAAAAATTGAACAACCAATTTATTCGTTAAAAAAGACAATAGTAATCAGCAAAACTAACAGCCAAAAACAAATCAGAGATGGTATAAAAAGAAAGATGGTAACTTAGTGAAGTATTGTGCAATGTAATCAAGAACCTGTCGAAGATACAGAAAGATGAGTGCCCTAGAAGCCCAGTGTTTGCAGATTAGCTTTATGATTTTGCAGATAAGCCCAGTGTTCTTTAAGAGGTTGGTAGTGCAAAGCGGGCAACATGCACACATTTGTCTCCTTGTGTTAAAGCTTAAAATATCCCATTCATGGAGTAAATTATAAATTAGTCCCTCTATTTTTAAAAATAAATTAATCAGTCTCTTTATTCATTAAAAACAAATTAACTTGTCTCTTTTATTTTAAAAATTAATTATTTAGTTATTTAACTAGAATTGATAATATTTAATTTAATATTATTTTATT